AACTCCCAGGGACTCCTACTCTGGAGTGAGGCTCGAAGAGTTGGAGGTGTTAGCCTCCAAACATACCCAAGCTGGGGAGCTGACCCCCAAACTCCACCTGCAGAGAAAGGAGGAGCATGCAGGGGACTCTGCTCTGCTAAAGAGGCAGCTGAGCAAAGCCGATGGGGAGAGGGCAGCACGATCCGTGGGATGCTGAGCTGGGTGATGGGGACAAATGTTTCATCTATGAACATCCGAAACAGTTTCCTCTTCTGTAAAATGGGCGTGCTGATCCATGGCCGGAGATGTCACATCTCTGAATTTATTAGTTTCCTTCTCCCTCAGACTCCCAATGTGATATGATCCCAGACCCCAGTCCAGACTGTTTCACCTCTCAGCTCAGCTGGGCTGTTCCACCAAACTGGTTATGTTGTGGCTTATGTCTAGATGTCCCACCAAAGCTAGCAGGTGAGGTTTTTGGGGTGTGCGATACAGGATTATGGGAGTGTTACACTGGATTAGTGGGATGGTTAGTTTAACATAACTCTGGGTGTGGATAATGGGAAGGCCAACCCTGGGTATGGTGGCACCAACTAATGGGCTTGCAGCTTGAATGGAATAAAAGGAAAAGGGAGGCTTGATGCTTGCAACTTCCTGCCTACCATGCCATGGACTGTTTCTCCTCTGCCATGCCGCCTTACCTTGGAACCAGCCTACTGTGGACAGAAATCTCTACAAACTGTGAGCTGAAATAAACCTTTCTTCCTTTAACTTGCTGGCAGTAGGTATTTTGTTCCAGCCGTGAGACAGTAACTATGACAGGTTGGTATTGATCGGTAACCCCCTGCAGATAGTGTGTTCTCTGGAAGTGATTTGGCTTCTCTGGGCCTTGGAGTCTTCAGTAGTTTTGTTCTGAAGATGATATGATGAATGGCTAGCATGGAACCAGGATAAAGAGATCTCTGAATCTCAGCAATCAGTAGCTTTCTCTACCACCTCACCCCACCAAGCTTTTACCCCACCAGGGTTTCATTTCTTAGAGCAGTAGGGATGGAGGTTAGAAGGCTGGAGCAGTGAAAAGGGGAAGCCAGAAGCCCAGGACTGTGGGGCTAGGAGTAAGTCTGGCCCAGGCTAGGCAAGTAGTCAAGGCTCTCCCAGGAGATCCAGCCAGGTGGCCGGTGTCCAGAGTGCCTTGGCTAGTCAAGGCCAATCAATAAGGCTCAGCTTCTGCCCAGGTGCTTGAAGGTCCCTGGGACAGACTAGAAAATGCTGGGAGAGGGCATTAGGGGTAACGAGCAACAGCGGGGGCAGCCCAGCCACTTAAGAACCTGGGCAGGACAAAGACTCAGCCCTGGACTCCTGTTGCTTACAGCATTAGATTCTTCTCCTGGTTCCACTGGCCCAGATGCTACCATGCCAGTGCCAGGGGCTCAGTATAGACACGGCGTAGCTCAGAGCAGCCCCCTGCAGTAACTAAGAGACCCAATGGACCAGGACTTACTTCTGGCAAGGCCATTGAATGCCCCATGGGAGCACCTGTGTGCTGCCCTGTCCTCCTCACTCACGGCCAAGGCTCTACCCCCAGTGGCTCATTTGAGCCTCTGTTTCTTTATTGGTTAAAAGCTCTAAGCACTCTCCTAACTCCTAGGGCCACTGTACTCCTCTCCTGAGATGATCAACACGAAAGGGTGTGGTGGAGGAAGAAGAGAATTAATTACCAAGCACATTCAATGAATCACTGCACCCCTAAAAGCCAAGTACAGTAAGTCCTTGACTTACTGTCATATTTTTGCTCCATTTTACAAGTATGCTATGGTTCAGAGATGGTGGGTCACCTGCCTGAGGTCCCACAGCTGACAGAGCCAGGCTGGAACCTAGAGTTGTAGAAATCCAGCCTGGACTTTTCACCACTTTCCATGTGAGGTTACAGTTTTGGTTAAACCCTTCCCCAAAGTGAAGGTTCCTTCTTGTTATTACCGTTATTTTACAAGACCCAAGTCATGAAAGCGACTATTCTGAGACGTTAACTCTCTTTTGCCCCATGTGCTTCTTCAGTCTCAGACACTCAGGATCCCGATGTCTGGGGGAACCAACCCAAAAAAGCACAAAACTAATCTTTTCAATGTCCGCGTCTCCTAGGCGTCGAGTCAGTATTTGAGTTGGATGTAACCTTGTTATCATAATGCGGAGGAAGCCCCAAATTTAATAAGGCTAAGACACCTCGGGCAACACAAGAAACATAACAGGATATTGCAAAAAGATCAGGCGTTTCCTCTGGACTGCGAAGGGGACAGGTGGGGGACAGGCGACAAGATTTACACTGGGGGCCAGTGAGTCCTCAGTCCAGGCCTGGCCTCAGGACCAAGTGGCTAGGGCAGAGCTGCAGGTCCTGTCCCCAGTGAGCGCAGTCCACAGACTAAATGTGAACCAGCTGGGAGGACGGTGTTAAGAGTTGGATGGGGAGAAGGGAGCTTACCTCATGAAAGGGCTGTGGAAACGGCTGCTGGGAAGATAATAAAAGGATTAACTGCTCTTTTAGTGGGCCATTTACTCTTCAATCAAAATGTCTCATCTATTTCCTGTTCTCCACAGGCTCCAGGGCCCAAATTCCTTTGTCTATTACAGCGCATGGTAGCAGAGGCCTGTCATGAGAAATTAATAATTTTATAGGGAAGGGAGGTTGTATTTATCTGGGTGTGGGCTGGGGCCTGCCTGGTCCCCTGGGTTACCCACTGCACCAGCTTCATGAGGGGAGCACTGTGCTCTCCCACAGCAGCAGGAAGACCAGGCAAGGAAGGTGATCACCACTGCTACCAGCTGCAGACAGTGGCACCCAGCAGGGCCGGCCCATAAGCCCCAGAGGAGCCCCAGTTTAACAGAGCAACACAAACAAGAACTTCTAAGTTTAGAAAAATGTAGGTTCAAATCCTACTCCAACAGTGACTATTGTAACTATCGGTGTAACTTTGGACAAGTTATTATTATTATTACTGTTGTGATTCTTAGTCCTTATTTTTTTGCTGCCATTATTATTGTCTCTAACTAGCTGTGTGATCGGGGCCACTTACATAGTTAGTCCCTTTGAGCCTTAGTTTCCTCTTATAGAAAACATGGGTTAATAATATCTACTCAAGAGCTGTGCTTGAAGACCACATGGGCCTACGGCCTAGAAGAGCACCCCAGAAGTCTGCACTCAGCAGCTGCTGTGAGTACTATAATTACAGTACTCTCAACCACGAAGAGGCAAGACCAAGTGTTCTCGGAGCAAGAAGGAGGTGGCAAGACCTACCAGGACTTTGTTTCCCTATGTATAAAAGCCCTGGGCTTTACAGAACTTTGTTTTCTTTTTGCAGTGCTATAAATTGTACCTAGGACCTCCACATGCTAGGCAAGTGCTATACCACTGAGCTACACCCCCAGCCCTTTGCATTTATTTTATTTTGAGATAAGGTCTCTCCAAGTTGCCCAAGCTGGCATAGAACTTATGATTCTTCTGTCTCAGCCTCCAGAGTTGCTGGGTTACAGGAATGTACCACAATACTTGGCTTTCCAGGACTCTTGTAAAGAACAAACACGATTGCCGGTGAGCTCAGATATCTCCCAGTCACTGGTCCTGATCCCTAATGGCCTGGGGACCCATCCCAGAGTGCAAAGTCTCCCAAAGCAAAGAGCATGGCCAAGCAGGAGCCAGGTGTATGTCAACCCATATCCCGTGCAGTCTAGAATCAAAGGAGGTCCTGGCAGGCTGGCTCTGTGCTGTGGTGCACTAAGTAACCCAGCCCCCTCACCAGGCCTCTGTTTCCCAAGTTGGAAAAGTGGGCAGTGAAGACCTAGGTCATCTCAAGACTCATATACTGGGGCTCATGGGACCACACAGCCTCCACCTAATCCCCCACAGACACAAATAGATACACTTACAGAAGGTGACTTGACAGAGAACTGCAGCTCAAGAGTCTGAGAGAGAGGCAGACCCGTGGACTATGTTGGTCATCTCTTTCCGGGACATCTCATCAAGCCATTTGTCACAAGATCCCAAATGAATTGGGGCTGCCCCAGCCCACTGCCCTCCCACCAGCCAGCTCAGCACAACAACACAGAAATCCAGTTTCCTCACTTTCCTCCCTCCAACACTAGGATGCCAGTTTGGGTTCCCCCTTCCTCCTGTGTGTGAAGCAAACCCCTTCTCATCTTGGAGGTCTGAAGCACTGGCTCTGTATGTGCCCAGCTCACAGTGCCACAGGTAGACAGGCCCTGGTAGCAAGTGCTGGACACAGGAGGGTGAGCGAGGTGAGCTTGAAACTCCTGCCTCCTGCCTGGCCCCTACAAACCACCTGGGCTCTGAGCAGACAGTGCACAAGTGTGGAGAACTCGATCTTGGCTATGACACCAGCCCCTAATGGCCAGACACACTATAGCCCACTAGCTGGGAAGGCTGAGTTGTGGCCTGGGTGGCCCAGGCTTCCTGGGGTGTGGTTCATGCCCTGAGGCCCAGCCCTTCAACTCCTGGGCAGGCGAGGCGTTTCCTGGGGACCAGATGAGTCCTGGGGCTGGCACAGAAATGAGGTCGAGGTATCAGGAACTAGGATTATGCTCTCAGAAAATTTAGTCTCAGTCCCAGCCAAATCACTGGCAGTGTTATACAGGGCCTTGACCTTACCCCAAAGCCTCCTCAGGGGATCCACAGTAGTGGGCCAGAAGCCTAGAGGGACCCAACAATATACGCAGCTCCAGGAGAAAGCCCTGGAGTCCCCCCAGGACACCAAGTGAAGGCCCAGTGCCAGGCATCACGCCCCCACCTGTCACCTGGCCATCTGCAGGAGGGACCCAGGGCGCATGCAAGTGAAACAGAAGGCTGGCCTAGCCTGCTCTGACCTGTGGCCACTAAAGCACACCTAACACACATCTAACACCCCAGTGAGGGGACAGGGTGCCCGGAGAGAACAAGGTGCCCTGCCAAGGTTCCCAGAGACTGAACGCTGGCTGTGGGCTGGGGTGGGCGAGGCAGGCGGCAGTGGACTCACCATGCACTTGTTGGGCTTCTCACCCGAGTGCACTCTCATGTGGATGAGCAGCTTGTAGCGGGCATTGAAGGGCTTGTAGCGGCGCACGCAGCCAGCCCAGAAGCAGGTGAAGTCCTCGCCCTTGCGCTGGTCGATGTGGCTCTTCTCGATGTGCCGCACTAGCTCCTCCTGTTGCTCGTACGCTGCACAGCAGTCCACCCAGCGGCATGCCTGCCGCCCGGCCACCAGCCTGCCCGCCAGGCCCAGCCCCAGGCCTCCCAGGCCCGGACCAGCTGGCAACTGAGGCAGGGGGTAGGGGGGTGGCAAGCCCTGCTGGTGAGTCCCAAAGAGCTCAGAGAATTCGTCTGAAGGCTCCTGCTTCAGGAAGCCCGTCTTCTGGCATTCTTCCAGCTGCATACTGCCCTCCTGGCTCTCAGTGGAAACAGGGCCGTGCCGGGGCCGCTTGGGAGGGACTCCAACATCTCCTGGCAGAGGGGGGCTCCGGAGCCCATTTATACAGGACACTAGAGCCGTCTGGGAGGAGCGGATGATAGGGGTGACATCGGAGGAGACACAAGGTGAGGAGGAGGCTGAGGAGACAGGAGGCAGGCCCAAGAGGCAGCAGCGCTTCAGGCCACCCTCGGGCAGGTGGGCTTCGGGCTGGGGGCCCAGGCCTGGGCTAGGCTCGCTGCCCAGAAGGTAGCAGGAAGGGGCAGGGTTGGCGAGGCCTTGGCCCGGGAGGTCCAGCGCAGTGTGCAGGCCCGTGGCTGCCGGGGCTCGGCAGTGAGTTGACAGGGGAGTATGGGCTTCGGCCATGGCCTGGTAGTTGGGCAGGGACTCCTGCTTGATGTGCTGTGTAGCTGGCAGGCTGCCATTCACATAGGTGGCCTGGGGCCTGGGTGACCTGGAAGACAGTGGCCAGAAATGTCACGAGAGGGTGGCACAGCAGTTGACAGGGAAGCTGAGGGCCAAGGGATTAAGAAGTCCAGAGGAGGAGAGGGAGACTGAGACTGGAAAGCAGAGGAAGAGACGCTGGTCGGTTGAGAGAAGAGATTGGCTGTCTGAGAGCAGGGAAGAGTGCAAACAGGGAAAGAGGGAGGGAGAAAATGAGAGCAACTGGGGCTGCACGTGTGAAGGGTGAAGGTAGGGACTCCAGGAAGGACTGCTCTGTTTTGCCAAAACCGGGCCTGGCCTCCAGCCCTGGGGCCACCCCACCCCCTGGCTTCCCAGTGTCTGCTCTCCCTGCCTGACCTTGTGAGTGCTGCAGGAGGAAGCCAGCCTTGGGCTAGTGTTTTGAGGAACACCCAGCTCCAGCAGGTTTTTAACTCCAAGTGTGTGTCCACTACATCTTTGAGTTCTGTAGTCTTTCTTAACTTCCGAAGATATTAACTGTATGAGGTTCTGTCCCAAGCAGTCTATCTTTTCAACTGCCCGTGTCAGCGGTAGGGGTCCAAGGCACAGCCAAGGCGAGAAGGTGCCTTAATCCTAACTGGGGAAATGCTTGGGCTGGGCACGGCTGGGAATTTCAGATCCAAACACCATGAGTGAGAGAGAGAGAGACTACAATTCTGAAAAAAAGTCAGAGCAGGCCAGACAGGACATAGGTGGGAGGCAGGAGACCAGGTCTGAGGCCAGATACAGCTCTGTCCCAGCTGTGAACTCAGGCAGGTTCCAGGCCTCTCTCCTCAGTGAGAGCAAAGTGACCTCCTCAGAGAGCCAGGCTGTTGTGGGTGGCAGGGCCGAGTGTCCTACGGGGGCTGTCTTCACCATATAAGTGGCACACAGTTTCCTACAGGGCCTGTCCCAAATGCGGGACATCCTCCTTGCCCACTTCACAGAGGGCCATGTTCAGAAGATGAGGGGATTCTCAGACTGTGGTGCCCATGGCGGGGAGGCAGGTAAAGTACAGGCAGAGACGCCCAAGCCGGCCTGTTGCCAGACCACTCCAAAATGAGAGGAGAGGACAGGCCAGGAAGGTGAGGTGGGCAGAGAATGTCCATGGGTGGATGGCACAACAGGAGACCTGGCTTTCTGTCCAAAGTCCGACTGGGATCCCATGTGACCTCCCCTCTCTGAGACTCAGTTTCCCACCCACCTGTGAAACAAGGACCAAGAAGACAGAACTCAGAGGGTGGTGGCCAGGATCAAGTGTCAGCCCTCTGGCAAGGAGATGACAAGGCTCATGGTGCTGTTGCTACTACTCCTACACCAAGGCTTCCTGGGGCTCTACATAGCGAGAGCTGTGGGGTCATCGTTGGTTTCTCTGTTCCCCAAGATGGTCCTGGGGCCCTGGCTCCGGCCCCTGCAGATACAGCATCCCCAGTGCCACCACAGGAGGAGGGGAAGGGAGAGGACCACCCACCAGAGAGCCCACAGGGCTGGAAGAGGAGCTAAGAGGACCCATCACTGCCCAACGGCTCCTGGGGCAGGACATGGCACAGGGGAGGAAGCCCTCTGAGCCCAGTGAGCAGTGCAGGTTGGCCACCGTGTGAACTCTGAACTGGCCTCACCTCCCAGGCCTACCTGACTCTTCTGAGATGACTCTGCAAGAATCTACTTCAAGTCGGGCGTGGTGGTACACACCTGTAATCCCAGCACTTGGGAGGCTGAGGCAGGAGGATTGCCACCAGGACTACATAGTGAGTTCAAGGCCAGCCTGAACAACATAGCAAGACCCTGTCTTTAAAAAACCACCTCAGATTGTGCAATGGGGACATGAACCTTAATAAAACAGTCTTTGTCTCTCACAAGACCCTGCAAGGCAGGAGGGTCTGCAGCGGGCATCGTTGTGTCACTAAGCCAGTCCCAGCACCTCCAGGACCTCAGTTACCCTGTGTTTCCCATGAGCCAGGCAGGTCCTTATCCCCCGGGGAATGTCCAGAGAAAACAGAGCAGTGGGAACAGGGACGTACCTGTGAGGATGGGGGAGATGCAGCAGCCTTTCACAGGCAGGGGAGTGGCCCCGGGGTGGTGGGGTTCCCACAGGGAGAAACAGGCCCTGGTGGCAGGCAGGGCCAGGGCCCTCAGCAAGGTCCAGGTCCAGCAGGCCCTTTTCCGAGCCGGGGGTGCAGTGGCCGTAGCTCCCGTTCACTAGGCAGGGGCGACAGGGAGAGAAGAGGCAAGTGAGTGGGGACAGCACCTGGAGCCATGCTAGGTGCCACGATACCTTGTTTCCTTCCACACGCATTCAGCAGGATCCACGGTAAAACAGCCAACTCTCAGGTGCGGATGCTAAAGCTCCAGTGGCTAAATGAGCATCACAAACATCAGGTGCCCACTGTGCACCAGACAGGATCCTAGAAGTAGAAGCCCCGAAGAACAAGACAAACTCCTGGTGTCCCGGAGATTGTGGCCACCACATTTCAGTCACTCAGACGCTCACCAGCGACGGGGCTGGCACACACAGCCACCAAGGAGAAGCCCACGCCGGAGCAGCTGCTGACCCCACTGCTAAAGCCCCACCTATGCTGCTTCCCAAAGCATGTTACGACGGATTAAGACAGCACGTGGATATTCACCCACTACGTCCCCAACAGGGCCCTCACCCTAATGACTGTTTGCCCTACCTTGCCCACCTGACCACGTGAGTCTAGGAAGGCTGAGGCAGCAGATGTGAAAGACCTTGAAAAACTACACGAAATGTAAGGAAATGCCAGACACACTTGTTAGAAGAAGCTCCTTTCCCTTTTGGGCCTGTTTCCCTCCCACAGATGAGGACGCTGATCCAGAAATTATCTTCTTGGGCTTTCTGCCCTCTCAGCTCTGGGAGTGATAAAAGAAGAAAAAGGCATAGGCTTTGGGGCCACTGCACCCAGAGTGGGTGTGAACCTACTCTGTCTAGAACCCACTCTGCACCTCAGGTGGTGGACCCCCTGCTCCCCTGGGTAAAACGCAACAGTCACGGCAGTTGTGGCACAGTGCTGGCGCCTACAGGTGTGCCTCTGGAAGGTGTTTGATGGTTAAGCCACTCTGAAACCTATAAAGTGCCTTACAGATATAACAAAATACTTCTGATGGACCCAAGCACTGTTCAGGTCCTGTCAGTGCCAAGCAAGAGTAGGTATCAGGATGAGAAAAAAGCTGAGACTGGACCATGGCCAACCCCTAAACCAAGGTCAGGGGCCGCAACAACAAGCGCACCATGTTTGGATTGGACGTGAAGGCCACCGGCTTGTTTGGGCGCCCCCTGCCCTCCGAGGAAGGGGTGAGGCTCAGGGAAGTGACAATACCCACACAAGAACACACAGCCAGTATGCATTTGGGCTGGGTTTCTGGCCCAGTCTGTCTACATCCAAGCTGCTTTCAGAGAGCCCGGCACAGGAGTCCATCGCCCCCAACCCTAATTCCAGCCCCGCTGGGGCAGAGTCCCTTCAGTATGTGGTTATCTCCCAGTGCTGAGGCCCAGTGCTTTGCAGTCTGCAGTGAGAGTGAGCGAGCACCTGGCTGTGGAGCTCAGCCTGGCTGTCGAGCTCCGGGCAGGTGAGGGCTCCCATGAGCCTCCACTCCATGCAGCCTCAGGGCCAGGCCCGGGGCCCAGCCCCAGCTCCCATCTGTCCTACCGCGAGGAACACTTGCCCCCGCCAGCCTCAGCGGCTGCTTGGCCAACCTCTCACAGGCTTATTTTTAAATAACTTGGTTGTTTTTTAATTATAAAGAAATCCCTGGTAACAAACGTGGATGGGCTCAGTTAATGAGAGCAGTATGCAGCTCGTTTAACTCTGTCTCCGCTTGGCTGTCCTCGCCTCCTCCAAATCGTTTCTGCATGCAGTTTTATTGCCCCGTTGAGGCAAACCCTGGGACTGGGCCTCAGAAAACTGGATAATTTTATGACCATTAATAGTATTTGGAGCAGAGAGGGCTTAATCATCACACAGGGCTGTTTCGCCAGGGTCTTTGGTGGGGGAATCTGAGCTTCCTTTGAGGACTGGGTCACTTATCCCTCCTTCACACAGGGTGCTGTGTGCAGTGATGGAAGGTGGGGTGACAGGAAAATGGTGGCAGAGACTGGCACTTACCAAGCTTTCCCAGTGTCCATCTCTTTTCCAGGTGAGAAAACCATGGTTTGGAGAGACCACTTGCCTCCGACTCAGCTCGAGGGTCCCTAAGAGACCAGGCCACAATCCAAACCCAGATCTCTCAGACTTCAAGGCCCAATAGCTATCCTGCCACCTCTCAGTCTCCTGAATAGCCACAGACCCTCGAACAAGCATCCCCAACTGGAACCCCAGTGAAGATCAGAGAGGTTAAGTGGTTTACCAGACTCACACAGGAACTAACTAGCTCAGCTGAGAGTCAAAACTCATTCAACTCTGTGAAACACAAGAATCATTATCAACAAACTGGTCTGCTGGCTGCCTCTGTACTGGAGATAGTAAGAAGTTTTCAAACTATTAATGAGCCAACTTCGGGACAGAGCCTGCTGGGTCACAGGTGGACACTGGTTGGTGCTCCAAGCCCAGTGGAGGCCTTTTCTTCTATTCCCCAACAGTACCTGGGGAAAGCTTTGACTGTCCATCTTCTCCGAGGACTCTGAACACCCAAGGTCCACTGACGTCTCCCAAAGCCCACACCAGACTCTGCCCCGGCCATTTGCTTTCTCAAAGGCTGAACATTAAACCAGAGGTTGCTGCCACTGGAAAGACGTGTGTACTGCCCACCATGGGCCAAGTCTGCCTGGTAACACATGACCCCGAAGGGGAGGCCCTCTTCTGTTCACACTCCATCTCTGGGGAGAGAGGATGGAGCCCTGCCTGGGGAGTGACAGGTGCACACTGCCTGCCCTGCTGTCCTGAGGCAAGACAGGGGTGCCCTGGGAAGGAGGGGTGCCACAAGGCCCAGAGTAGACGTATGACCTGGCCTTCCCTATGCAAACTAAACCTCTTTGGGAAGGCTGGAGATTGATGGGGGTTCTGTGTTCATATTTATAAACTGGTGAGGAATTCTACGGTGTCAGAGCTGGAACTATCTCACTAATAGATAAAGCAGCTGAGACTTAAGAAAGGGAAGAGCGGGCTGGAGATTTAGCTCAATGGCACTGTGCCTTCCTCACAAGCACAAGGTCTTGAGTTCAATCTGAGAGAGAGAGAGAGAGAAAGAGAGAGAGAGAGACTTTCCTTGGTTACAAAGCAAATCCTAAGCAGACCCAGGACTGGCACTTCTGAAATTCAGTAAGAATTTGGCCTCATTTTCTCATAGCCTTAGTTTTCTCATGTCCTAAAGTCATGGTGACAAATGAGATCACAAATCTAAGCCATTTATCCTGTTGCCTCCTCTATTGTGTAAGCACAAGAACAATAATGATTACATAAATTAATTCTTCAACTTCTCTCAGCTCTTGCAGGGAAGCAGGGCCCTGTTTGAGAAGCGTTCTATTCCCAAATAGGTCAGATCTGGATGACCATAGGGCCAGACTCAGAAGAACAAAACCCCAGCACTTGGCTTCAAACACAGAACCAGGCAGCTGAAGGAGGTCACAGCCAGCCAGCCAATCTGAAGCAAACAGCCCCAGCTACACACCAGAGAGCTTTGCAAATTATTGTAATGACTTGGCTATAAAGTGGCACCACATATAAGGTGACTCCCCACAAGAATTTTAATTTATGCTGAAACCTGCCAAGTCTGCACGAGAGTGGACAAAGATTCATTCAGCCTCTCGGGCCCAGACATGTCTCCTTGCAGCCTCAGGGGCAGCCAGCAGCTGGGGCCAGGAAGGCCTTCGCCATGACCAGTGTGTCTCATTCATCAGCAAGCAGGCCTTTAGTGCCCACCAGGTTCCAGGCTGGGGACACCATAGCACACTTTATAGCTCACAAAAAGTGGTCACAGCCATCACTTGCAAACTTCATTACGACTTTCAGGAGTTGACTGGGCAGGCTCAGACAGCAGGCAGAGCTCAGGCTTGGCTGGCTCAGCACCTCATTTTCTATAAAAGGTGAGACAGTCAGTAAGTTAGGCCTTCCGGGCCTACCAGTCTCAGACACAACTGTTCCAGTCTGCTGTGGTACTGTGAACAGTATCCATAAACAATATGAAAACAAGAGCATGGGGCTATGTTCCAATAAAACTTTATTTAAAAAACAGATCACTGGTTTTTTGGGCTATTGATCTGCCAACCCCTGAACCTGTACAGCAGTTACAGAGCCAGGGATTCAGAATCAAAAATCATGCTTTCCTACATCTATAAAACATGGTGGAGTTGACTGTGTGAAAATGAAATAATATAACAAGGCTGACTCTGGTGGGCATTCAGTAAGGGGAACTGCCTTCAGCCTGGCTCTGGGGATCCACAGCCTGGGCTCAGCTGTCCACCTGCATGCTACCTGCAATCCCATAATGCTTTGCTGCCTACAGACTCACCATCCACTTATGGCCCCAACACTCCTGGACCCCCTGGGGCCTCAGAGCCCAGCAGAAGCGCATGTCCTCCTGGACTGCTCCCTGTTCTCCCACTTCCCTGAACTCCCCTGCCACGTGGTCCCCACCAGTCCCAGTGGACAAGGGCCACAGAAAGTGCCCCTCGGCTCCCCAAGCCATGCTTGAGACTTGGCACATGTCACCTCCATCACTGTAGAGTTGGCTGCTAACACCTGTACTGCTGCATGAGTGCTTTAAGGACAAAGTCCTGCCTCTTCTGCAGGTCTGTGAAAGCCCCAGAGCTGCCAAATGTCAGTGCATCCCTAGATGTGGTTGAGCCCAACCTACTTCACCCAAAGAAGAGAACATCAGGCCCAGGTTGAGGAAGGGGCTTGTCTCAGCCTCGCACCACAGGTAGGTTCTCTAGACCTGGACTCCATTGAAACAACCCCTTCCCACCCAGCACAGTCAGGGCCACAGCAGTGGCTGGAAACCCTGAGAAGCGGGCTGGCTGGGTGGACTGCCCCAAACTCACTTTCATGCCTACTCTATGCCAGACACTGTGGCTTAGAGGACCTGAATAACTCTTATCACACACGTCTCTGGGTTGAAGCCCCAATCCACCATCAACTTTCTCACTATTTGGCCCTAGATGAGTCACCTCACCCTTCTGAGCCTCAGTTTCTTCTACAAGATGGGGCTAAGAATCTTAGCTGCAGAGGGTGGCTGTGAGGATT